TAAATGTCTGTAACAACAACAACAACAACAGTGACATTCTAAGGAGTGAGGTGACTTCTTCTTTTTCTGTTGCTGTTCAATCATGTGCAACCAAGTATGCAGCGACCACTTTCTCTGATTAGCACACCCTCGATCACAAAGGTCTGAATAAACAAAGAAGCAGCCTGTAATGTGTCTGGTATCAAGAAGCTGCCAGATGATAAAAGCCTCCACGTATAACAATAGTGATAAATGTGCCTTTTAAACTGTTCTTAGCAGCCATGCTTGACATCTTTACAATTTAGGTGGAAACACTCTCATATTTCTAAATATTCAAAACTCACAGTCAAACAGCGAGAATTACTATAGTCTGAACATTCTCAATTACAAGTAAGAATTCTGAAAATGTGATTTAACAAGAAGTACAGAAGTAATATCAGCTTTAAGTACTTGTAATATAAAAGTGAAAGTACTCAGATTGCAGCATGGCTCTTTTCACAGTATTAGATTATCATAGAATATTGTACTATCCTGTTTTTATCACTAAGAAATACATTTTAATGTACACTAAAGGTTGTCAATTTTGAGCCAATTGTATATACTTATTAGTATACTGGGTTGTCGTTTTAAATTGGTAGTACAGTGCTTCATATTATCTTATAAGTATATCACGTGTATCATGTTTTTATATGTCAAAAGTAACTAGTACTACGAGTGTTACATAAGTGTAGTGAGTAAAAAGTACAATATTTCAGAAATGTATTGGAGCAGAAGTATAAATGAACATAATATACTGTCAGTGAATAATTTGCCCTGCATGTCCTCTGACGCAGATGCCCAGCCTTGGACAGCCGCTATCTCCCTTAAGGAGGGGCTGCCCTAGCATTTAGTTGTTGTTACCAGTTTATGACCGGGCAACTCTCGGTCAGACATAGTCATTGTTGTGGGACACCTGGAACACATCCTTCTCGGGGAGTAGATGACCCCGAGCCATAACCGTAACAAGTAATTCAGTGTCCCCAGCTGTTTAGTCTATCTATTGAAGAATGTTGATTACCCTCAGCAAACTAGTTAAAACCTCCTACCAGAGGACGAGTTCGTCAGAATTGATTTGGCATCTCTACCCTGTGGTCAACTCGTGGCCCGTGACATGTCTTGTGAATTCTCCGGCCGAAGCTCCAAATAAACCGTCAGTGTTTGCCATCAAAGCTCCAGCTCTCCTCGTGTCTCTCTCTGAGTCCTGTTTCCAATTGCTTCAAAAGTTTCCCCCACAAGTGTGGTACTTGAGTAAACATACATAGTTACTTTCCACCCTTACAAGAGGTTAATTTAATCTTCATGGGGGCCAATAATACATTAGACACCGTTAACCAGAGGTTTTCTGCACCAAATGATAAACCAAGGGAGCCATGTTAGGGCAAGATATGCTTAGAATTGTAATGCCAATGAAACCCACATGTTATCGTGTCTAGGGAAGTGTGGGAAGTGAGAGAGGAGAGGTATAAAAAAGAAAAAGTTTGATTAATGAATAAACTCTTGACTGAGCCTGACTATTGGAAGTGACACATACAGAGGTCTGGGAAGAAAGAGATGTGAAACCAGTGGGTGGGCAGGGATAGAGGAGAGACTGGAGGGTGGTACGCACGGTGAGGCCAAGACTTTCTGTTTGTCCTTCAACCTACAGTCTGTCTGCCAGTAAATCTCTCTGAGAAATTAATCCTTAGCAGGCTATTTTTTCAGCTCCCTGTCTCTATAACACAAAACCGTGACAACACACACATGTTCCTATACTCACATATCTTTACACTGTACATGCAGACAAAAGTAACATCCCATCACACGAGCCAACACAGCGACAGCGGCACTATCTTGTCTGGTGTTTGAGAAAATGCAGCCTCTAAAGAGTAAGCAGCTACTCTCAGGCCATTAGTAAAAGAGATAAGAGTCATACACCCTGTGCCGCACCACTCAGCAGTATCTGCAGTCCTTCTCACAGCTGGAGACAGAAGCCAACGACAGAAACAAAACATGACGCAATCTGAATTTCAAGCAGGCATTCTTGAGCAGATGAGAGACACGACCTTTTGAAGTCAACGTTCACCTGACAGGCTAAATAATCTCATTGTGTATTCAAACAGAAGGGGAGATATTTCATCAAGATTCCCAGCTTATGAACTCTAATGCATTGTGATGGTGAGGGGAGAGGGATCCCACATGTGGACGGGGCTTTTCACTTTGGATTTGCCAGACCGCAGTCAGCACAGCGGCCTCTTCTTCTGGGAGGATCCACAGGGAAGAGATTCCACTAATTGCTCATTCTACCAAATCAGAGTCAGTGTTAGCGGCTGACAATCACATATGAAAAGATCTTTCCTCCAATATGCCTCATTCAGGGCTGCAACAGTCGATTGTTTTCCACAATTCTTTTTTTAATTAATTTTGTTGTGCACAATTAGGTCCAACATATAAGTACAACAATGTAATTAGTAATTGCTTTCCGTCGTTTTTTTTATTCAATTTTTGTGTGATTTTTGCGTAAAATCACAATTGTGACCTGCATTTCCCATGAGTATTTAAATTAAAAAGCACCCTTGTGTTAGGTTTAATATTCAGTTTTAGCTTAGTTTACTAATTCAGTTATTTTTTTATGTATAGTGAAATATTAAAGATGGAAAAATATATGTATATATGGAAAACAATAAGAGTTAGGTTATTTGCATGAATGTAAAATAACAAAACCGGCATTTGTCATGGATATTGAGTCCTATTTCTCTCCATATTCTTACGATGTAGCATTTTATTGTGCAGGCAGTAATCCTCTCAAAATGATTTATTCATCATGTTATATTCAGTCTGCATTTGATTACAGTCTGAGGAAGCTATTTAAATGGCTTGTTTGTTTGAGTAACTGTCCAAAAATATATTGTTCAATGTGAAGAAAAAAACTGAAACTTTTCTTTTGAGAGGCTTTGTTCGCCTTTAGAAGATTCATGTTCTGTCTATTGACTAATAATGAATCGATGTATCCTTTTGTTTAGTCAATACTGTCACAATCTTTTTACCTGAATATCAAAAGCAGAAAAGATTCGACTAGATTCATGAAATATATGGTAATCCTAATCCAGAAAGTTGTGAAACTGCTGAGATTTGAAAGCATTATTTCCCCTTCAGACTCCTGAACACAGCGACTGTGTGAGGTGCTATATATAGGTGTGCTAGTCTGCAGCTGCAGAGAGAAACTGTCACTAGAAACTTTATATCTGAGGAGCTGGGAGACTTTTCTGTAAAGTAGTCTCGACAGACTTCACACAAATTATTCTGGTTTCATTTGACCAGTTACAGCTATTTGAACTCACCTGTGAGCTCTGTGTTTCAGAGGCCATAATCCCCAGCTATGGCTATAGATTACCACCCAGCGAGTGATCCTGCCACACAGGGGGGGGGGCAGCAAATAAGCCTTCTTCACAACTCCCATTTGGTATTGATTTGCATACAACAAGGGGAGTCCATACTGAGCAAGAGGATCAGTGTGCAACACAAGTGCAAGGAGTCGTTTCTAATTAAACTCACTGGTTTCAAGTAAAAAAAGGAGCAATGTTTATCATAGAAAGGTTTAAAAAGTAGCTGCTTTGTGAAAAAAAACATTCAGCAAGGATGAATAGTGAGAATTTGTATCACTGAGAAGAAGAAGAACACAGAGAAGGCTAGTATCTGTTTAGGATGAGTAACACATGCTAGGTGGTATTGGGCTCACTTGGGCAACTCATTGCCTTAAAGTACAAATAGGAGTTGTTTATGGGTTGTGATGTTGAGCAAAGCTGACATTTGCACCTCCAGTCAGAAGCCTCGGAGCAGTCCATGTGCATGTGTGTGAGTACAGAAATGTTAGTCAGAGAGAGGGACATGAGAGGGGGAACATTTCCCCGGGTGAGCATTCACAATCAGCATATCCCTTGGGGGCCCATACACACACGTCCTCACTATCACATTGCTCTGAGACGACTACCACAGTCCGATTGAACTCTACTCAGAGAGAGATATGGAGGTGGGAATAACACGTGAAAGAAATAAGGAAATATCGATGAAAGGCGGTCTCAAAATACTTCCAAATCGTATGTTCTGTTTGGATATCCACATAGATTATGAGCCAGTAGTTACTTGAAAAAATATTTTAGGAAAGGTAGGATATTTTAAACAAAAAGGCCAATCAAATATACAGTAGGAAGTTTCTGCAAATCATGTTTTGAAGCTATGAATAAATATAAAATGCATCACATTACTGTAACAGTGGCACTGGTATTCATGCCCTGTAGTTTCATTTGGTTAAATCTGTCTCACTGCCTCTTCAAGCTGTTTCTTGCCAGTTGGCAGATCAATAATTTACTTTCAACAATGTCCCTAATGTACCTACAAATCCTATTTATAGACTCCAGCTCCAAATGAGTCTGACACTACTGTATATCAAAAAAACACCAGGAGAGAACAAAGTAAAACAAACCTATACAACTGCAGCATTTGTTTTGATCAGTACTCCTGACATTATAATAAACTGTATATTTGTATTAGTGTCATATCTGCAAACACATCGGTTAGTCTTCATCCTAAAAACCTTTTCTTTTCATACCCCTCTACTTCCCATATTCCTGTGTGTCTCTACACTGTTTAAGGAACTCAAACATTTTACTTGTACCATTAAAGTGACAACACACCAATTAATCTCCCAACAGTGTGAGATAAGCAGCCAAATGTGATTATTTTAGAATAATACTTGCCTGCTCTTACACTGTACTGCAGCACTACCACTCAATAGTTTTACACTGCATTACAAGAACAATCCTAACTCTTCATTTCCATGTCTTCTACTGTACATGTTTTTCACAATTTTCCGTGAGACCTGCAGCTGTAGCCTCAGTCTTTTCGCACCATATCAATGTATGTAGCTATGAAATGCACAATGACTCTTTCACTTACATCAAATGCCAAAAATAACAAACAAAATAGAAGAAGTGTGTAATACTTACAACCATACCGTTTAGGGACACCCAGCAGTCAGGGGGGAAGTCTTGGAGGAGAGGCACCAGATACTGGAGGCAGCCATCCCAGTGACACAGAAGCAGCATCATCCCTATCAAATTAAATATTCTTACCACTGCACTAGCCAGGTCATAGGTCATATGGAAAATCTGCCGGAGAGAAAAGACACAAAGAGAGCTCGGTTAGACCTCTTGAGAATCTTTTGTTTAGTAAAAACGTGCATTGATATTCCGATCATACATCAGGTTAGGCAACACACACACACATTCATTATCCATTGGAAACATGTATTGGTATTTCCGGTATAACATTTTATTATTCCCTTTAAAAAGATTAAAAAGAGCCCCAAAGTCACCTTTGAAGTGGAGGGCATGGTGTGCGTGTTTGGCCACAAGAGAATGACATAGCTACAAGTGCATGTGTGTGTATATCACAGATGTTGAGCTACATAATTCAACATGGCTGCTTTCCAAAACAAACTGACCAGTGGAGGAACTACACACGCAGCACAGAGTCGGTAATGCAGAGCGACTGAGGTGAATAACACACTGAATGATAAAGGGAGTGCACACATCTGGAATAATCAGCCGGTATGTGTGTTTATATTCTGTGAGCCCGTGTGGATGTTCCATCAGAGCAGGACATTTGAGAATAGAAAGTCATCAGCAGGGTGAATAAGCATATGCGTAACGTGAGGCGGTTTCATTCACATCCAATCGGGGCGAGGAGAATTGACTCACGCCCGGTTGGATGTGGCACTAATTCTCATTAGCATTAGAAACCCATTACCTCCTTCCAGGTTAGTTATTCCATAATCATCCGCACACTGAATGCTGCTCAATTTATCCTGCTAAAAAAAGTTAAATATGGAAAAGAAAAGATTGGTGATTGGTGGGTTTTGCATAATAAACCTGCGCCATTTGCTAATTTGCTGAATGGAAGAGTCCAAATAATTAGTACCTATTTTTAAGTTTATTGCTTTCCATTCTCTTTAATTGGCCCATTCTACTTAATTTAAGTGTAATGACAATGGAATTGGCCTCAGGGTATGGGCCCCACACACAATCATGAGGTTCAAATAAATCACACCCAATGAGAAATAGTAAACTTTTTATTTCAAGTGTGTTTTTCTACACTAGTGATAATTGTTTGAACAGAGTATCAAAGTGGTTAATGGAAGACAAATCGATGTCTTGAGGTTATAAATAAACTCAAATGAAAAGACAGGCAAAGGTTGAAGTAACACATTATGTTTATATGTACAGCACATCCAGTATGAAATACTTTACTTGAAATAGGCAGTACTTTCTTGTTTTGAACACAATTTAATTTTGTAATATAGCAGGTTTAACTCCAGGTCCATTCTTTTTTTGGTCGTACCTGCCTTTTAAGATAAGATATTAGATAAGATGTACTTTATTGATCCCAATTTGGTACATATTATCTTATATCTTATCTTAAAAGGCAAAAAACATTATTTTTCTCCCCAGTTACATTTTTCCTTTTTTCTGGTTTATATACTTCAGTATTTGGAGAAACACTGACCACTTTTGACCAAATTGCGAGGGCTACTTACTTCCTCATCTCATCAATTGCAATCACTCCAGCCTGGACATGGACTTCAAATTGCGCTGACATGTATTCTGGCATAATTTTGTTCCAATTGTGCCATCTTTATGCAAAATCTGCCATTAAAACCACCCTAAACCCCAGGTGCTTTTAAAGGCTCTTTGAATCCACATCTCTCCACCCCGGTCTATTGTGGCTGTCCAGTAACCTTTCTGCACAAAGGACAGTATCCATACAGAGAACAGCTGAGAGAACAAGAGGCTGGGCTGATGCTCAGATCCCTCTATGGTGCAACTCATCCACAGGGAGACAGTGCACTGCCCTCACAGGCTAAAATTAGCTGCTAGCTTACAGGATGGCTGTATCAATGCACTCTCTGCTGCCTACATCTTTATTCTTAACCTAGCAGAGCTCTCTGTCCCTCTGTTGGGTGTCTTTACATTCATTATAATGATGGGATATAAGAGGAGAGTCCAAGAGGCAAAGGGCAGGGAAGACGAAAACAAAGAGCAAGGCGCTAATAAAGGCATACAATCTTGGAGCATTGTAACAAGACCGGAAAACAGGAAGTAGCACTTTGGTCCTTCTTTGAATTGCAAATTATTCACAGCAGGCAGAAATAGAAAAAGTGTCGACTGCTTGTCTGCACTTTCCTCTTTCAACTAATGCGTAATCGAAAAAACACAACAATAGAGATTTTGAAAAAAGTGGGGCGCAAGTGGGAAAGTAAGCAATAAGGTGACGTATGTGGGAAGGTTGCAGAAAGGTTTTAACAAATTCCCAGGGAACATTTGACTTTGCTGCGTAGACTCTCTGACCTTTGGGTCAAGCTGAGTCACCGAGGGCGGAGAGGAAAGATGTAGAAACTCATTAACGCAATAAAGGATTTCTTTTGGATTGTATTTCAGGGGCAGTTTTGAAAAGTCTGCTCGTGGCAGAAGGTTGCCACAAGGTATTACATGTGGTCTATTTATAGAGTTCTTAATAATAGAGGCTGCAGGTGAAGAGCAGTGGCGAGGGATTATACACAGGAGAACCTTCACTATGTTGTTTGAGGATGAATTGTAAATATTTGAAACAGTGAGATGTATTAGTGGTTACCACTGTTGAAATATTCTCATCTAGGATAAACACTTTGTCTCCATATAGCAATTTATTGTAAAAATTCAAACATGCACATATGGGATAATCATCCTGAGTGTTTAAAGGTTGCACTGAAGTCACAGAGAGGGTCATGGCAGTGTGTCTACGCAGCACATCATGTTAATAGAGAATATTAAAATACAGGGCTGCCATTGTTTTGAATAACATTTTAATGTAAGAAGAATAAAACCAAAAAATGTCCTTTACTGAAGATGTTTGCGCCAATTTACTAAATCTTTTCAAGTAGAAGAAATGACATCTTAGCAAGCTGTTAGTGATGTACTTGCTACATACACTAAAGAATATTGTCACTGTGACTTTGAAGTACATACTGTATCCTTCTGTTCTGTGCGGTTTTAAAAGTCTAGCCTGGCTTGTACAGTATAATTTGACATCTCTATTGTTCTTGGGGCAGTGTTTTTGAATTTGTACGATTGTGCCTGTGTGTCATAGTTAGGAGTTCTGTAACCACACACACACAGGAGTGGATATATCTCAACAACATCCGTAAAGTTACCAATTGAATAACCAGAACTTTTCTCAGGAAGTGTTTAATTGTGCTTGATAACAGGACATAGGTAGCTTTGACTTAGAGCCAAAAGCACAACCAGTACTCTCTGTTGGCAACGCAATATATGAGCTTTGATTTAAGTGAATAAAGCTTACATTTGACAGGACGCAGGGGCACAGGTCAGCATAATCCTCTAATATTGGAGAGACAAACAGCCAAGATTTGATGTGATAGCGGCACAGGGTCACAAGCTGGTCATGTCCCGCCAACACAGGGCTCATTCACATTTGGCTTGGTCCCATATATTCATCTGTCCAGTAACAACTAGATGGGGATTTGGATATCAATCTGGAAAGTATTGTGTGTTTACATGCACTTCAACAAACAGGGTTTATATGACAGTGGACAGCAGAAGTGACCCCCATGTGTTCACAGAAGTGTTCAACAAGTGTCACTTCAACTTTTAAAGTGTTCACTCCACTGCTATCTGTCAGGTTCATGTATGTGCGGTAGGCTGTCTGACTTTTTGAATCTGTTGTGAGCAGCATGCAGGAGAATTACTCATCATCAAGCTGTGGGACACGCAATTACAAAGTGTTCTTTATGCATCTTCAAATTGGACACGGGTGACCTCTGTTTGAGGTTAGCGAGGATTAACGAGGGACTAATTTGAGGGGATTAAAGCCACCACTGGCTATTACATTGAAGGCTGAAGAAACAGCTTCCAGGAAAATCTGGTATTCTCCCGCTTAACATCAAATTGTAAATCTCCTTTTTGGATCTCCCTTGGTGTTCCTTAATCACAAAATTAAGGCTGGACTTGGATTTTAAAAAGTCATATTATCATGTTATGTTGGATTTAGCAAGTCTCATGTTTTCCTCAAGCAACAAAAAGAAGACAATGTTTGCCTAAGCAGATAAAACCTGGATATGAATTATTTGATTTACACTGGTAAACAACTTCAGTGCAATTCTGCCCCAAAAGAAATGCAGTTTGCTGGAAGAAATGACAATTTACTTCTCTGTAATGCACTTTGCGCTATCATGTTGATATATAATATCAGTAATGAATAAAGATAAATAGAGTCTGCATTATTTTAGTGCTTCAGGCAGCATACAGTACGCTCTGAGAAGCTCATCAATCTGCAACTATGTCTACAATGCAAACTAGTATAGAGTAGACGACACGAGAAGATGGAGAATAATTTCAGCGATGTTATGAATGAACTCGGATCTCTCCAAGGCGTGTTAAAGCAGTGTGCTAATCATTGTTACTCTAAATAAAAAGGCGGTGGATGTGCAGCAGCAGCAAGCAGCACATTTAGGTAATGAGGCCCAATAGTAATACATAGCCAGAGACTTAATTAAAAGGCAGGTGGTGATCAATGGGGTCTTTACACAGGCAGAAAACAAGTAGTGATATATTTATGTTACACAGGGAACCCTGGAAAGAACTGGCCATTATATCTCCTCCACGATACGCTCAGTAAAGCATGAATGAGTGCTAGTAAGTACTTAATGGAAGAACATCATTTTTACTAGTAAATGTATACTATGAAAGAAAAAGTCGTTATGCTGAATGGCCTCTTTCAGAGTCTAATATTATAATACAAATTGTATATTATTAGATTATAAATATAGATGCAATCATGTGTAACCTTCATCTAGATGTATTAGCTGGTCAAGCTTGAGCTTATTTTAACTTCTTCATTTACTGCTGGATAGAATATTAAAAGAAATCCTAGTTCTTTTATAATATATCATGCTTTGAATGTATGACAAATCAGAAGGTGTAAAGACACTAACGCTTTCCAATAATTGTGGAGTCAAAATAAAAAAATATATAGAAGTGAATAGAGCATTGGTGTGCTTAAACAAAGTATCCTGTCAATGCCCAGTACTTGAGTCAGTCCTCAGTTACGTTCC